ATGAATTGTGCAAGATACCTGAGCGAAAATGGTATTCAATTCAAAAAAATGCTCTTTGAAAACTTATAGTTCATTACATACTTTATTGCATTTAGCATTTACTGTCGCATAAAGAGGAGCAACTAAGTAGTACAAAGTCAATATTGAATATAAATACTTGACTATAAACTGGCAAAATTCATCATCTCTTTTGCTTATAGCAACAACATTTGTATTTCCAAAATGTGCACTTACATGTAATTATTTCACAGAAGCATGTTCCAAAAAGATTATTTTGAGTAAAGGGAGTTTGCGTTGTCAATTGTGATCGTTAGTGAAAGGTGTAGATTTGCATGGGTGAAGGACCGTTCTTGTACCGGATTTAAATTTTGTTTGGTTGTTTTTTGTTTTTTTGTTGTTTTTTTTTTTGTTTTTTTTTTTTTTGTTTGTTTTTTTTGGTTCGTTCGTTTGTTTGTTTGTTTTTGTTTTTTTTTGCTTTTTTTGTTTTTGTTTTCTTGTTGTTGTTTTTTTTTTTGTTTTGTTTTATGATGTGATCAATCAGTTTGCTCCCGTGTTAAAATTTGCATAAACGCTGAAGGCTTTAAGCATAAAATTATCACGAGAGCAAAGTGATTAATCATCATCATAAATCCGAAAAACCAAGCAGTTTTTTATGCATCAATTTTAATTGATCCTTAATTTAAAAAAAGGGGGGGGGCGTGTTCAATTATGAGAAATCTCTGCAAGCCCTGCTCAGTGTTTTACTAAACAACACATAGCGAGAAAAGCATATAGCTCTGTCAAGTACAGAGCAAATCGCTTTGTGGGGAGAGAAAGCTATTATTTCATTTGTAATTTTGTCTCGGATAGACATTTAAAAATGTAAATATTCTTACGTTATTCGTACTGAATTGTTCTTGTAAAAACTTTATCATTCGTGTATCTTGTCAACAATAACGTTACAACTAGTGTATTTTGCAGAAAAAAAAAAAAAAAACATCTATTGAACAGGGTCAGAGAGAAGTTATTATGTCAGAAAGTCAATATATTATACCTTTTGAAGGGGCCAAGCCCAAAATATTGTTTTCTTATACCTAAAAAATAATAATAAAAAAATAAAGCTCAGGATGTTTTGTTTGAGATCACGGAGAATAAAAATTTGGAATAAGCATAATCAATATCCAGTAGAGGTGACTTTTTTTGGTGTCAATCGGAAGACCCACTCGTTGCTCGCAACTAGATCGGCTCTAGTTTGCCTTAAATCTTCTTAGATGTTCTATAGACTAACATTTTTGTTCCCTTCAACAGCAAGGCAATGTTGTAAAGAACAAATGATTGAAATTATGATATTACTGTAGAAATATCTTATGCTGTACATAAACATATTAAAAAGCCCAAATGGTTGAAGTGAATAGTGCAACAAATGTTTTGTTTAATATTCTACTTTACACCTTACAAACTAAACTTTTTGACTATCTGTTTTGATAAATGTGAATATACATGTGTCAATTTTTTTGTTCTATCCTTAATAATATTCTTTTTTTTTCCCAATGTCACCCTAAATATTTCAAAGCTTTTTTTTTTTTTTTAGTAAATGACCTTGATCCCTTATGTAAATTAAGAAATGTAATGATATACGAAGTTGCAAATCCTCTTCTTTTATAACGATTGAAATTCCACAGGATGCATTGATATATATTTATATAAGTCTCACGACGGGTCATGTGAGTTGAATCGTGACTTTCTTATCTTTCTTGCATATAAGTTGATAACAACCTTACCTACTGTCACAGACCTTCCAAGATATTCAATATACCATGGCTGTCCAGATTCTTGTGCTCCTTTTAGCAGGTATCTAATTAATGCTAGATCAAATCAAATATCGGAGAAAACATTGCTAACCTAATTCTTATGTTATAGACCCTGAATAATGTTCATTTGTCATTGACAGTACAATCTGGTGTCAAATTTTAATCTTTTTTATATAAATAGATTTTTTTTATTAAAGGGTAGAGTAAAATTGCTTAACATAGAAATACAGCACTGTTAAAATTCGTTAACTGAAATGATTTAATTATAATTTTTGTTATACTAACTTAAAAAGCGAGATAAATACAATTTCGATTAACGTCAAAGAAATTATGAAAGAGCACAAATAGCAAACCTAAACTTTGGGCATTAAATTCAGTTTTTATTTTCTAAATTGTATTTATTAGTCCACTACCGGTGAAACCAGAGGGGACTATAAGTTTCCTCTGCGTCTGTCCGTCTGTCCCACTTGGTTTTCCGCACTTTTTTCTCTAAACGCTTGCAGATATTGAGCTGATTTTTGGTATGTTAGTGTATCTTGATGAGTTACAGATCAAGTTTGCATTTCGTTCCGCTTCATTGATTTTTGACGGAATTATGACCTTTTCAATTTTTAAGGGTTTTCCGCAATTTATTTTCTCTAAAAGATTCCAGATATTGAACTGATTTTTGGTATGTGACTTTACCTTGATTAGTTATAGATCAAGTTTGCATTTCGTTCCGCTTCAATGACTTTTGACGGAATTATGGCTATTTCAATTTTTAACGGGAACCAGATTACACTTGCCAGTAGGGGACTACCGGTAGTATTGCTACTGCAATACTCTCAGAATCCTTGTTTCCTTAAATAGCAGATGCCTTGTAAAATATGTAAGCATGAATTTTTTGACAAAGAACTCAACTAAGCATCTTTGAATGACCATTTAAGCACTATGAAATCCATTGCCTGTTATCTCTGAGGTAGAAACTCTTCTTTGAAGTCGGTATAATTTTGCCGATTTACATGTTTTACTCTCAAGTTACCAATCCATTAAGAAATTCAAAGAGATATAAGTCAAGTGTCCAACACAAATTGCGGCTTAACGCTAACAAAAGTTAACAATAGTTACTACAGTATACTAAAGTACATATAAGCAATGAAGTTTTTATTATAGTAACTTAATAAATAGTAAATCAAAGTATTTTTACCATGAGTTTCTCTCTGTTATGTTTAGTTCCTCCGATTCCTACATGCAACTTTTTTTATATTCAAAGGAAATATTACTTGTAGATTTACATATTGTTTGCAAAATTAATGTTATTTGCATGTGATTTAGGAGATATTAAGACTAAATCTCAAAGAAAGTTATGAAGTCAAGAATCATCAAAGGAAATCAAAGCCCGTTTAACTACTTTTGAATGGATGTATGAATGTTTCAAAGAAATAAAGAATTCACAGCGATTCAGGACATTTTAAACAATATAACCATTATTGACAATCTATACATGTAGTAGAGGCCTTCATACTAGCTTATATATATCATGCAATTACTGTCCGAAAACCAGTCTATTATATGTGGCAATTACGTCAGGCATTATTAGTCCGAGTCCGTCATACTTTATACATGTGTTGAATTGTGTTATCATTTTTTCTACGCCATATTAAAATGTTTTTAATATTGGCGTTAAAAAGTTTAATTGAAATAAGTAACTAGTGTACCTTTTTTAGGTTATGAGATGAAAAGGATTTCTTTTTCTAGTTTTTCATTGGTGTGCATTTTATTTAAATTCATTAATTTGTGCTGGTGCATAAAAGATAACAACACTTGTAGTCTACATATTTTAAGGAGGGATTCTTGTCTGGTTTCTGACTAGATGAAATATTCAAAGTATATTTGCTTATATATCTTATATATTTAGATGTAAGGAATTTAAAACATCATATTTTTCTTTCCTCGTCATAATTGTACAACTTTAAATAGAAATGGTAAACTGAGTTTGAAATCTAGCAGGAACTATATTTTTGGCGGAACGGTGGCGTATAAAAATATCTCCTTTTCTGCTTCTCAAAATTACTATAGAACAATGAATTTAGTTTGAAAAAATTAACAATCAGAGACTTCAAGAATTTTTCAAATGTAAGTAAAATTAATAATGATAATAGACTTAAGTTTTTAAAATGTATCAAATAAATATGATTTTCCAAACAAACTACAATTTTAATAGCTTTTAAAAGCTTCCAATATAAGTATAGTTTTGAGCTAAAAATCAATTAAAAGTGTTTTTTCTATCTTAGTAAACGGTCAAAACTTTTTGTTTTTGTATCGTTTTGTATCTTTATATGATTACTTTACCATATGCCAATATATCCTAAAAAATTAAGAAAAATAGAGGAAATTCGGATTAGCCAATATCTATTTTAGTTAAATTATTTGTGTCAATTTGGTAGTATCACCTGATAGACCCTATATAGTAATATCTTTTTATGCAAAAAGAAAAATATTTAACCTTTTGAAATATAAGTAGGCATCGCATGATTGGCAACAGTAATTTTTCATTTTTAATGTCAAGGAAAAAGATCATGACCTTGACCTGACCTTACTTCTAAAATAAAACGGTCGAATTTAATTTTATTGATACCATCACTTAGTGATAATGTCTTCTTGAATCTATGAAAATTTCATTAATTTTTAAGTACAAGAAATATGAGAAAAATCCCTCTTTAACTCAATTTATGAGCATGAAATCTTTAGTTCTTCGGTGTGTACTGTATGTACATATCTTTAAAAGTTCATTCTTTGTAATTTCATGACATTCTAATTAATATTAAATTTTTTTCAGTTGCTTTGACTTCCAATGCTTTCTTTTTGGACAGTGAGTACACTTCTTACAAAACATTTTTTTCATGAGCTGAAGAAATGTCGACAAATGGGGAATGTATCCATTTATCATGTTTACTAGGGGGGAGGTAAATGCAAAATTTACAACATGATAACTTGTCATGTTGTAAATTTTGCATTTACCTCCCCCTAGCAAATTCAAAATTTACAACATGATACATTCATGCTCTGAATGGATACTAGTGGGAATGATCATTTTTGAAACATTTTGTTCTTTGATAACCTGCGTTTTCCTTAAATTTTATGTTTTTATTTTATATTCATATTTATATGCAAAAACTTAGATAAATTCCTTTAGATTATATAATTATATATCATTTTTTGCAGCAATTCACAATGGAAGAACACAATATAACTCAAATAATGTGTATGAGCCATGTAGCCGTGAGTACAAGAAACTATAGCTATTCACAACATAGATTATGTTCAATGGGACATTATACTATACAATACAACTCTATGCCAAAAAATACAGGCTATTTGATCACATAACAGTGAATATTAATGATCATATAGGGTCTGCATATAATAAATTTCTCTTTAAATGACTCTCCTGAGTTAAACATTTACATGTATATTTATTTAGCAGTGTAGTAGGTCTTAAAATCTTTATTTTCGTAGTTACTGTAACTTAATATTTCTTTTAATTCTATTCAAATTGAAATAAATATCAATGTAATTATGCTTTCTTTAATGTTTAGACATAAAGGCCTTAATTCATGAATGGCAGAAACATCAGCATATGGAAGGTAAAGATTATTTAAGAGATTGTTTGAATGGCATCTTATTTTGTGATGATGCGGATTAATTAGTATAATAGAGTATATTCATTTTATGAAAAAAAATGAATTAAATTTATAAATTGACATACAATATACATTTTTTTCCTATAAAAAGTTGCATTGAAATGTTTTGGCTTGAGCACAATTGCTTATATGAATTGTACATTTATTATACTTCTGAATATTTACATCATATCTGTTAAAGTGAAATTTATATGTGATTTATTTGAATTTTATAGTATTTATGCATGATCTACAATAATATTTATACAGATAAGTTTCATAACCTCTGGAACTCGACGGTAAAATGCAAATATATTTATGTTTTAATTTCTCACAGCTGTCAGATCGATATATGAGTACATCGTGACGCACCAAAACAGTCACCAAGGACATTTTGGCCACAACGGCAGGGGTATGTTATATTGACATTATAAATATATGTGTTTTAAGCGGCTTTTATCGCACCATTTCTAATCAGTTGGGAGGTAGAAAACTATATAAACCAGACATAATTTATTTCTGATCATCAGGAAGGAATACTGAGGGAAAAAAAATGCAAATAATTGGCCTAAAATGTCAATTAATTTTTTAGCATGGAACTGACTAGAAAAAAATTGAAATAAGGCAAATTAAGTGCACGACAAAAAATCATAGTACTGTTTGGAGTATATATCTTTTTGTTATCCGACATTTCATAACGTCTTATCGTAAAACCTTTGTACACCTACACCTTTGTATATCTATTTTCCTTTTTTTTTAATACTATAGTACCATTTTTCTACCGAGTGTTTATGACATATTCCATGATCGATATAACGGATTACATCAAGTGTGTAAAGAATTGACAAAGAAACAAAAAACAGTGTCATGAAGAGTACATAGTGATTTTAAGAAAGTGTTAGGGGGTAAAAAACAACGAATAAGTTTTTGAGGCTAAAATAAGGATTGTCAACAAATGTGTGGTTAACCGGAGACTCGTTGGGCATAATTGTTTATAATTGTTCTGATTATTGAATACTTAAATTAGGGTTGATTCAAAAGTACTGCCACTTCTGCTATAAAATCTTAAAGAATAGAAAGTCAACAACAAAGTTTTATATTCCAATACATCTATCTATTTTGAATGTTTCCTACAAATTTCGATATATATATATATATACATGTATTACTTATCAAAAGATAAACACAAATTTCAGCTTTGTTTGTCCCCGCACGGCAAAAATGTTACCAACGTCTTTATAACGTTACTTTTGATACTCATTTTCAGTTTATCCACATGTTAATGCTTTTTAAAAATCTTCGCTGCCATCTTGTTTTGAGTTGATTTATTAAATTTATTTGAATTGTCCAATGTTCGTTTCTATATTCATTTTATTGTGCGCAGATAATTTGTATCTAGTCGGATTCGATGAGTAAAAGACGTTTAATTTTGACTGATCGTCCACTGACGTTCTTCTTTTTTGTGCTGAATTGAGGTAAAGGTTGATGCCCATTTAAACGCCAAAACATAACACTTTCACAACAAATAAGGGAAAAAATAATGCTGATAGATCAAAAAGAGGCGTATTTTCTCTTTGTAACTAAATGGAAGTCAAAAGATAGACAGCTGCGAGGAAAAAGTGTGTGGGGGATCAGTCCGCTATGAAAGTCACTTACTCTTGAATCTGACAATACTCGAGATCTACGCACAAGGGTCTCATGTTGTAAATTTTGAATTTACCGGGTGGCAGTAAATACAAAATTTACAACATGACAACTGCCATGTTGTAAATTTTGTATTTACTGCCACCCGGTAAATTCAAAATTTACAACATGGCAAGGGAATGAATAAGGAAATAAATTATGGAATGGCAATATTTAAAAAAAAACGAAGCAAATCTCCTTAACACAAATTGGCAGTGTAGATAGTGTAACATGAGACTTGTTTATGAGATGCAATAGATTTTAAGATGAACTGCAAATGACTTAATTCCTAGAGTAACGTCATAAAGACGTCGATAACGTTGTTGTCGAGCGGCGATAAACGTAACCTAACTTTGTGTTTAACATTATATTTTAAAAAGTATCATATATATCTGAACGAAATGTTTAACCAACAGTCAAAATTGATGGAGGTATTAAGAAATCTGCTGATGATTCTCCATTTCTAAAGATTTTATAGCAGTAGGTACATGACTTTTGGACCAACCCTTGTATATTACTCGAAAAACAAAAGAATGTATTTATTTACTTAAGAGTGTCAATTTAAATTGAAATTGCATACATGTACAACTTTAAAGAAACAGATCAAAGCACTTTGCATACATTCACACAGATATTACGGAATGGTTAATGTGTCACTTTGACAAAAGAAAATGTGTATCAATGGAAAAGAATCGAAATGATAAATTTTATGAGGTCATATCTACAGTATATGATTGAGAGATGCCACTTTCGGTGCCTTTAGCTAGAAAAGATTCTTAAAAAAACCCCAATTGAATCTTCAAATATGTGCGCATATTTTAATGTAGATTTTTTTGCGAATAGTATACGTCTGCTATCAGGGATTTTATTCACATCTTCTTTTGTTATAAAAGAAATTATATTATTTTCTGTTAGCTATATAACCTTTGGGCTATTTCTCTTTAAAACCCCTTAAACTATCCTAGTCTTCCTTAGGTACGAATTTTATTTCAAATTTTATAATCAAACTTCTATTTTCAGCACTCAGATATACGTACAGCAGTGACTTTGATGAAGCCTTTGATCAGCATAATACCCATCCAGACGGTATGCTGTTTACATGTACTTGATATTTTGATTATATTTGCAGCTGTTCCATTTATGTTATGTAAGGGGCATCTAGCTATAGCCAGGAAAATTTACAAAAAAGTATAATCATCAAAATTATTAAATATCTATTTTATTATTTACAATTACAATATCGTTTTTGCAGTAAAAAGAGTTGAACAACTGATAAGTCACAATTGGGAGCATGGATGTCAAACCAGTTTACAAATGTATTGTGAAGGTATTTTTTTTCCATTTCATTTAAACCAAGAAGGTTTAATTCTGTGCACAGCATGTGAATTTTTAAAAATTTAAACAGGGTTTAAAATATCTTTACGTTCATTAAAAAATTCTTTATCACACATCCACATTTTTTTTTGTTTTTGTTTTTGTTTGTTTGTTGTTTTTTTTTGTTTTGTGTAAATGAAAAAACAAATAGCTACATGTTTACGTGTAAGATTCTTCAAGCGATCTTTCCTTAAACATTGAAAATACATGTACACGTGTTCCTAATTTAAATTTAAAAAAATATATTGAACTTGCTTGTAATTTGCTGGGTAGAACTGCTTCATATTCAACCACACTCCGCACACACCACCACCCAGAAACCATCAGAAAAACCAACAACGACACATCATGTCACTCCTCACAAGACAACCACTAAAGAAAAAACTACCACAATGCCACCAACAACAACTACAGAACGACTAACCACCACACAAGCCACCACCACACAAGCCACCACCACAACAGCGGGGCCAACCACGGTGTTACCACCTCTTAATCTGAGTAAGTATCTCCATATTGATTTTATAAAAAAAAAAATCAAGTCTTAATAAACAAAGAAGATCCAGACTTTAAAACAAAACAAAAAAAAAAAAAAAAAAAAAAAAAAAATAAATAAATAAATAAAACAAAAATTTTACTATAATTATTTATGAACACGAACATCGGTATAAAGAGATTTTTTTAAAAAAGAAAGTAATAATATAAATATAATTGTTTGAAATAAAACTGTTCATATGCTTTATGTAAAATTAACAGCAATATCTTATCCTTTTATCAGCAATCTGTGACGCCTTTGCATTTGTGATGGCACTAGCTAGTGGTGACAAGGTCCTGGATCAACACGCCGGTCTATGTTCGGACGGCACTCACAGTCAGTCTGAGGCTGTCCTGCTTCAGACCTGTAAAGCCCCAGACGCTTCCACGTGGACAGCTGGACCAAAGGTATCTACTTTAAGTTTTAATACGTTCAAATTTAGAGTTGCAATCTTTAGTCCAATATGTTCTTTGGAGAGCAGATTATTTATTGATATTCAAGTTTTTCTCCGTACAAAGACTTTTTTTTCTAAATCTCAGATTTGATTATTTTTTTAATTATTAATTTATTACTGAATAAAAATAACACATAACAATACGTGTTGAGAATACGCTTATGGTATATACATACCTGTCAGGTTTTTCTATTTGATTGCTTATGTAAAAAACATTTCTTTACGATGTCTTCCTTGTTCAAGGTAATGGATAACTGTGCTCGGATCCCCGCCTATACACCTATTGCCACTTTTGAGTTTGGTCAGTATAATCTGGACTCGTCTTCATTATCTGGTATCTTTGTGGAGTGTACTGACGATGGATTCAAGGTAAAAAAACCCAAACATTTTCCTCATAATTCTATTGCTTTAAGGTGCTATGATGGTAAACAACGACAACAAAAAAATAAAATATTAAACAAACAAAACAGAAACAAATACAACATAAAATTTTTGTATGTATGACTTGATATTGTACCAGAGTATTATACATTACAGTGATATTTGAAATAAACAGATAAAATGGACGCAAAATTGAAATTTTGTAAATGAATTAACCCTAAGAGAGAAATTGTAAAAGTATATACTTAGTAATGACAATTGATATTTTTAATTTTTGGTTTTATTATTATTATTATTATTCCTATATTTGTACATTTTAAGGTTGCCGCACAATTATGCGGACATGGGCCTGAAATTTACACAATTCACAAAGGCGGCACTACACTGAGACAGGATGCAAATAATTATTATGTCGTTAACATTTAAAAAAAAATATTCTGCGAATTCTGTGATACAAATTTCTCTTGTATATAGCCTCATCATTCATTTTATATTTATTAACAAACACTGTCAATTTACTATTTTACCAGTGTTTTCTTGTATTTCTTGCATGTTAGAAATGAAGACCATGTTGTTCTGATATTAAGCGAGTCTTCTTAAATCAGTACATTAAAATGCTACGAGTATATATATATATATATATAAATCTAGCAGTGCTGATTATATCCAGTGAAAAAGGTTAAGATAATGAACAGTGATCGATCTTTAAAAAAAGTCCTACAAACAATACAAATCTGTGAACAGGGCATTAAACACGGACCCCTTGGAATTAATTCCAGATGTGGAATCAGGTGCCCAGGGGGAGTAAGTATCTCCTGTCATCCGGTCACACCCGCTGTGAGCCCTATGTACTGATTAGGTAGATGGAATATTTCGTAGTCAAATAAAGTATACTAACAAAGACCGAACAGTAATTCACATCCACATTTCTAATGCATATACTCCATATCCCTCAATTGACTTGCTAAAAGGTTGTTCTTCTTAAATCGAATGTCAAAGCGACAAATCATCCATACATTCTTAATCTAGAATATTGAGTGAATGAAAGGTAGAAATAGCTGTGTGAAGAATGATGAAAAGATTTCGAAATATTTCCTGATGAAACTTGAGCATTGATAAGGGATTGACCTCGATAGAATAGCATGAAATTCTCCTAAGATAGACAAGAATAAAAGAAAACTGAAAAGGTCCATGCTATCTAGTAATACAGAGTGGACCAGTAGAAATACTATATAAAGCATACATCTACATGTCTTTCAGTTTTTCAAGAGGGCAAAATATTTAGTTCACTAAACAACATGAAAAGAGACGGTTGTTGGGCTTAAAGTTTGCAAAATTTAAAATTTTATTTAACTTTAGAGATGAGCAGTCTATTTTATTATACTTTAGTTAAACTTAAAAAAAAATATTCAGCTTAAAGTTACTATTCCGAATAAACAGAAACTACGTCATTTACATGTTTTATTCCAAACAGACTTATTATGTAAGGTAATTTAAATTATCAAAGGACGGTGATCATTTCTTTGTCATTGTCTTATGTGTTCGTGTCACTGGTCCTAGGTCACTTGTAGATAAAAATAAATTTAATCTGAAAACGAACTTGCCAAGGCCTATAGACTGAATTGTGTGAAAGGAGATAAGAATTTTTACTGTACATCTTTCCGTCTAGATCTATTTTTTTCCAGTTTAGCGCTAAAACTGACACATTTTATTCTAAAGATAAAGAAAACGTCTGAGACATGGGAGATGCCAGAAAATCGATTTTAACAAATTTTATATAACTCATTTCTAGATATCTACAAACTTCACTATAGCACAAAACCGTGTATGAAGAAGTTTTTTTTTTAATTTATTTATTTTAATTTTTCTGCCCCGTTTCAGATTTTAACATAGAAATAAGTGTTTCAATATTATTTAATATTTCTTTTAGCTGGTTTTCCGTCCCCTTCATTATGTAGACACAAAAACTTAAAATCGATTTTTCTCTGTGAGTTTGATCCCTATCTGATTTAAATCATTGATACAACACAATGAATAGAATTCATAATAGACAATGGTCTTTAGATTTGATATAAAAATACTGCATTTGTTGGCATTCATACCAGATCTTGTGTGAAAACAAACTTAACCTTGATCTGTTTTGTTGATATGTCAGTAAGTCGAAATACAACCATAATAGGGACAAGCTAAAGAAAAGGGATTTACAGATTATGCAAACATTGCTTCTTTATTATTATGAAACAACATGTATTTTTAAGCAAATTCACACACAAATTAAAAGCATGACACAAAACAGGAAAGAGGAAGGTACGGTTTTAGCTTTATTGTGCCCTAAAAATTTAATGTTTTCAAAAAGTTTTGAAACTGGCTTAAATATTAGTTGAGAATATGACTGTGATAAATCAGGAGAGAATATGACATGAAGGAGTACCATTCTGGAAATATAACGTCATTAATTTGATGCATTTCTCTATCTTTAACAGAAAAAGCCTCAAAATGACCCATTTCAAGGGTTATTTTCCTGAAGAAAATAGTGTCCACAGCCGTCGCCCACTTTTATTTTTGAATATGTTGTTTAAAATTCTTTACAAAATCACATATCTCAAAATCTTTGTGGGCGATGCCTGTGGACAATATCATCTGAAATACAATTCCATTGAAAATTGGTGTCTTCTGCAACTTTTTAAGAAAATACGGGAAAATGCACAAGTTTATGACGTCACAACTAGCATTTAGAAGTTCATGTGAGAAAAACGGTGTGTATGATCTTTCTGCATGGAATTTCATTGATTCAAAAATCATGAGTTTTAATTTTTTACATCACTTTCATTTGTAAGAAAAACATAGGGCAAGATTTGTATTGAAACCGTACCTTGTTCTTACATCCCAGCAAACCATTTACAATACAAACTAAAGAAAATAGCGGTGGTATAGAAGAGCTTAATATCAGCCGTAAATAGCTAAAATGTACCAACCCTGAGCTGTCGTGCTATATTTATATGCAGGCCCGTAGGAAGCAATTTCAGTTTGGGGGGGGGGGGGCACAGCCAAACATTTTTCAGTTGACAGTTGAAGGGGCACTACCAAAAATTTTCTGACAAGCAAAAAAAAAAAAAAAAAAAAAAAAAAAAAAAAAAAAAAAGTCGTCAACTACCAAATATTCCTTGTCAAGCCAAAAAAAAAAAAAAAAAAAAAAAAAAAAAAAAAAGGGGGGGGGGGGCATCAGGCGTTTTTATTGAGGGGGCACAAGCTTATAGTATCTATGTTTACAATAGTAATCTATATATCGGCAAAATTATTGGGGGGCATGGCCCCCCGTGCCCCCCCCCCCCCGGTTCCTACGGCCATGATATATATATATATATATATATATATATATATATATATATATATATATATATATATATATATATATATATATATATATATATATATATCTCCAAAATGCAATATGGGATATTTAGTTCATTTCTGTATTACATCTTGACGTGAGATTAATATTTTGACAGTAATCTGAGACTTCAGAAGGCTAAGTTGAGAACATCTCTTGGAAATAATTTTCGTGGAAAGTACGACGGCCGTTCAAAAATTACGAGGACTTGTTGCGTAGAAAAAACATTTGACTACATATTCAAGCAAAAATTCATATATAATATAAAAGAATCTTTATTCCATATCAAAATTTTGTCAATTGAGATCAATTTTGGGCGATTTAACAGGCCATATCATTAAGTCACGGTGCAGTAAAATCTTTGATGTCACGGGCATTACAAAAATGTGAGCTTTCATTTTCTCAACATTTTCCCTCAGAGTTTGATACTGTACAGTTTGGTAACCTTATCCACTCAGCATAAACCTCCATATATCACTTCTGGTCAAGCTAAAATATATAAATATAGTAAAGTATATTCTTTATTGTTTTAAACCCCAAAACTGCCGAGATTTCTAAAATATTGTGTGACGTTGATCACTCTCAACCACATTATTAACAGTTCATATAAAGTTTTTGTCGATGATCTTCTCCCCGTCCCTCCGTTCATTATAGCTCAGTCGGTAGAGCGCTCGCTCCGTGATCGGGAGGTCGTGAGTTCGAATCTCGGCCGCGACTGACCTAAGTCGATAAAAAAATGGGTAGCAACTGTTCCTTCGCCATGCGCTCGACACTTTGAAGTGAAAGTTGCGGGTCCTTCGGATGAGACCTTAAAAACTGAGGTCCCTTGTCACGGCAGGCGTTGGCACTGCTCAATGGCCCTGGGTGCCGAGTAAAGGTCAAAATTTGAAGCCCTCACCGGTATATGGTGACGTCTCTATATGAGTGAAAAATTCTCGAATGGGACGTAAAACAACATACAATCAATCAATCTTCCCGTCCCTTCCCGGATTGCCCTTTACTGAGGTCTTACCGTCTAAAATTCCACTTTGCTATATGTCGGGTATACCCTAGTTTACTACATGTTTCATCAAACATATTTTGGGTCTATGTTGGATTTATCTCAAACATAACATATAATTTGATAAAAGTATGTTGCTTCGTCAATTCACGAGACGTCATTTTTGCAGTTGTTTTCATAGGAATCGCATCGGAGAAAAGTCACTATATTTCTTTTAGTACTTCAAATATTACTTCAGAAATCTAAATGTATACATAAAGACAAAACAATAAAAAGATTCCTTTGAGAAAATTGTCGAATAATATCCTTAATCATAGAAAATAAATGAGTAAAATGTTGGATTCCGTACGTTTGTTTTTCAAAAATTTTGTCGTGCTCCGCACACCTCCATCAGCGATATTAAAACGGCAATAATTTTAGGAGAAATTAGTCAAAATCCAAAAATTTTACCAAAATTTTATTGGAATCTTTAAGAAATATGTTTCTATGAAATTTTATTACTATTTGACGTCCGTAAGTAAATAATAGCCGAGTCCGTGTAATTTTTGAACGGCCCTCTTTCATTGACCACAGTCCTTAATACCGGCAACTACCATATGCCGAAAATTTAAACCATCTATGTATACCATGTTTAATTCAATTAGACACTATTTGAGATACGTACTATACACAGAAATTGCTTAAACAATAAAGATAAAAGAGAGACAATCCCGTATAATAGCAAAAGTATTGAGAACTAAAAGTAAAGGTATAAATCTCAAGAAATCAGATGATAAGTTTAATTAGAAAAAGTCTTCACAAATAAAATATATTCCTGGAAATTGGTGGAGAAAAGCAAAATCATTAACAAAAATTAAAAAAAATGAACACGAACCCGCACCCCGTCTCAAATCGCAGGGAACATTACTATACCATTCTATAAATAGGCAAACGCTATTAATGAATATTTTGCAACGATTTTGATGATAGAATATAAACCAGAACTACCACCTTATGCCCTGGGTCTCCATTACATGAAATGGTCCAGTTTAACATTGCTCAAAAGGTAAATATAATGAACAGTGATCGATCTCAAAAATACCTACAAATAATACAAATCTGTGAACCTGTCACACCCGACGTGAGCCCTATGTATCGATCAGATAGACAATATTCCGTAGTCAAATTAAGTATATAAACTAAAGCCAAACAATTGGTATGAAACACGTCAGCCAAAATACGACCCAAAGATAGACCCAAAGATAGATTATAATTACTAACAAGGTCATTATGACGACCATAGAATTTACGAAATGCTGACTTTAAACGAGGTTTTTGAAATCCCTGTAACATCAACTTATCTGTCAGTAGCCTACCTTGGTTTAAAAATTGTTCGTATTCAGAGTATTACTTACTTACTTACTTAGTCCTCTTCGTGCTTTGAGCACATAAGGCCTGCACCGAGGACCACCATCTCTGTCTGTCCGCTGACATCTGCTGTACCTTGCCCCAAGTCCATCCCTGTTCTTTCATTTCTTTTTCTACTGACCGCCGCCATGTCTCCCTTGGTCGCCCTCTGTTTCGTTTCCCTGATGGAGTCCATCTTAAGGCTACCCTCGGTATATCTGATGTTTCCATTCTCAAGACATGGCCAATCCATTTCCATCGTTTCTCTTTGATCTGGTCAGATATGGCAGCTGTTTGTGTTCTTTCATACAGCTCCTCATTACTGATCTTGTTTGGCCAGAATATCTTTAGTATTCTACGGAGACATCTTGTTTGGAATGTGTCTAGTTTTTGAGTGATGTTGTTTGTCACCTTCCAGGACTCAGATCCATATAGGAGGACTCCAATGACATTTGTTTTAAATATCTTTATTTTTGTTTTGGTTCTGATAGTTGAAGATTTCCAGATGTTCCGCAAGTTGGCAAAGGTGGTACGGGCTTTTGCAATTCTATTTTCAACATCCAAGGTGGAATCTCCATTGGCTGTGATCTTGCTGCCAAGGTATATATTCAGAGTATGCTCTTGAGTATTGAATAAGTTGGAAGACAAACAACATATGCAGGTGATAGCGGAATGTAAGATTTCCAAGACTTCATATTCTTGATACAACCTCTTGATCCTGATGGAATCTACCCAAAAGTTCTCAGACATGTTGCTCCTGCTCTAATTAAGCCACTTCCAAAATAGGCAAATGCCATCTCGTACAGTATTCAAGAATGAAAGGACAAGAGAACCAAGTAATAATGTACTAATATCTATTACAAGTGTAATTTGTAAATTAATGGAGATGATTCTGTTTGACAATTGTATAATTTTGTAAACAAAAATTTATCTATTTCCCCAAAAAGCAGCCATGTTCCAAAAAAGATGACTCCACAGTTAATCACTTAGTTGAAATATACACTGACCTTCTTTTAAGTCTTGATAATTTTTTCTGATTTTCAAAAGCTTTTGACTGGGTTTGGTATAGTGACTTACTGTATACATTCAAAACTATTGGAATTAATAATAAACTCTTATATAGGTTAGATAAAACTATTAGTAATGGTAAGCAAAAATTATTCATGATGGTTATGCATTTTCGCTTTGAAATATATATTCCACAAAACTCAGTGCTTGGGGCTCAATTTTGTTATGTATTAATGATATAACAAATGACAGAGTAAATCATAAAAGATTATTTGCAGATGGCACTTCCTTATTTGAAGTAATTGATAAAAATGTACATTAACAAGCACATTCTCTAACTTTTGATTCAGAAAAAATTAAAACAAATATTAAAAAAATATGGCCTGTAGCTTTTAGCCAAAGTAAAGCAGTAAATGTTGATTTAACAAGATAAAATACAGGTGTCGTCTACAGAAATTTAGAATTGTTCAATTTAAATTTATATGACAATTCAGTTAGTCCTGTACTCATTGGCAATTGAAAATTATTAATTAGTGAAAGACACGGGTGTCGTATTTCCTAAACTAAGATCTGGTTCGAATGTCCTATTGCAGACTAAAAGAACACACAGTTACTTTTCAGTCTAATGCTTCATAGTCCATACATATAAAAAGTATTAATGAACAAAAGGCCCAAGTGCCTTCACGGACATCTGCGTATAATGCATCCTTGTAAAGAATTCATGGAATGGTAGATAATTATTATCACTAGATAAATGAAAAGGATGAAGATAACGAATAAAGAACTTTGTTATTTGCAACTTTAGTAACACTTCCCTGATCGGAGACTTTGCAATCTAAACTTATTCTTGACTAAATACAAATACCGTAAAGCATTAGAAATATAATTTTTGTTTATTTTTGCGTAAGACATGTTATAATTTATACAAGTTTGTCTTTAAAAAATGATTTGAAATTATGTTCTAGAGAAAAAGGAACATTTTTAAGCAAAAGTCTTTGCAGCATAGTAGCCAGAGTTTAGCTGTTGGTGCTGGGAATGAAAAACTGTGTCATACCTTCTTTGTTCTCGTCTGTTTTGCTTTTTTCTATAAATAATTAAAAAAAAAAAAACATCCAGCATAAGCTATTAACCATATACAAATCATCCTTGTCTTTATTCTACTTGGATACTGATTTCGATTTCACAATTTGCAAGATAGATCTAGAATTGAACGCATACATATATTTCCTCTATACATTTATCAGCCTTTAATTTTTTAACAAGATCTTTAAAATGCATTTTTCAGAACAGACAGATGTTTATCAGATGTAAATCACCATAATTTGCGCTATTTAGCATTTCATTGAACACGCCTGCAAAACCTAAGAGATATAATTAAATTAATTGAAATAAGCAACAAACTTTTCGAATAAATAAGAGTATATCAATTCTTGAATAAGATTCAGATCACTGTAAATAAATTACTGGCTGTGTCATTCTGCGCACCAAGAACATCTTTACTCCACTGTTTGCCACACATACGCACTAGAAACATCTTAATAACTCCACTGGCTGCGTCATATACGCACCAAAATCATTTTGATAACTCCACTGGCTGTGACATGCTACGTACCAGTAAACATATTACCTTCACTGGCTGCAACATGCTGTACACCAGGATTTCACTGGCTGCGACATGCTACGCACCATGAACATATCTTGGTAACTCTACTGGCTGCGTTAAATACGCACCATGAACATCTTAATAACTCTACTGGCTGCAACATGCTATGCACCTAGGACTTTCACTGTCTGCAACATGCTATGCTCAAGGACTTTCAACATGCTATGCTCAAGGACTTTCACTGGCTGCGACATGCTATGCACCAGGAAACAGCTAATTGCCTTCACTGGCTGCACCATGCTATGCACCAGGAACATATTGTTAAATCCACTGTCTGCGCAATGTTTTACGCAACAAGACTTCTTGCATCATACTAAACACTAAAATATCTCTGTCTGCACATTACTGTGTACCAAATCTATCTTATATAATGAATCTCAATGTGTAATAAAACCAATTATCCCATGTTTACCCCTTTATCCCGTGGATATGACTCATTGGATAAATTTTTCATAATCCACAGTTAAGTGCAGTTGTGACGTCACAATGGTTTTTGCGTTAGCGTGATGAAGTAAAATAAAGTGGAGTCCTATATAAAACAGTGTAAAACATTGGTTGTGAAGTATTAAACAAGGGATAAAAAGAATTTCCCACGATTTGTAGTTGGATATGACTTTTATCCAACTCGTTGTGTGTTTTTATCCCCTCGCCAAGGCTCGGGGATAAAAAACACACAACTCGTTGGATAAAAATCATATCCAACTACAAATCATAGGAGATCCTATATTTCTTCATTACTGCAATATGTTATACGCAAAAGGTTCGCTATTTCATAAACTTATATTGCAAACTTTGTCTTTGTCATACTATTTAATGAATTTTTCATAAGTGTAATTAATATATTTGTTACCGACTTGAACACTGTTCATTTCATCTCCTGCAACATTTTAGCATGGAGATAATAGCAATTACGTTTCAAATTTCTCTAGCCTTTAGAACGGCATTTACATCCAATTTTCATAATATTTACCAATTGAAGCAGTATTAGATGAAATATATGGAGATAACAAACAGTATTCAAGCTCAAAAGTCCATTATACAATACAAAATAGGAGCAGAGCAAACACGGACCTCCAGACATCAGAGGTGGGATCAGGTGCCATGGAGGAGTGAGCATCCCCTGCCGACCGGTCACACCCGCCGTGTGCTCCTTGTCATGATCGGGAAATAACGGAAAAATCCGTCGACAATTCAGTGTGTAAATAATGGCCTAACAATTAGTACGAAAAACGTCAGTCAGCATTTGACTCAATGATAAATTGTATTTGCTGACAAGGTCATTGTATCGACCATAGAACTTACGAAATGATGACTTTAAACGAGACAGCTGATATTCTTGTTTCATCAACTTATTTGTCAATAATTTACCTAGTTTTAGAAATTGTACATACATAGAGCATGCTCTTGCGTATCGAATCAACTGAGAGATATATACCCCGTATGCAGGTGATGAAGGTATATTGCTGCATAAGTAAGGGAAGTTGACGATTGAAAAGTTAAAGTCATCACGTTTATCATAAAGCTTGGTTGTTAGATTACCATTAACGTCTTTTTCAAGTAAAATATCCAAATATGAAACAGATGTTTCAGACTCTGTGGTATCTTTTATCTCAAGTTCACCAGGATATATCGTATCGACATAAGAATGAAAATAGCCATTGTTAATTGACAATACGTCGTCGATATATCTAAATGTCGAGTTGAACGCCACAGCAAGTGTTTTCTTCTTTTCACGTACAAGATTTTGGACAAATTCTGCTTCATATGAATACAAAAAAAGGTCTGCTAATAACAGGGCGCAATTGGTACCCATAGAAATTCCAATAGATTGTTGGAAGACCTGGTCTCCAAAAACTACATAGATATTGTCAATCAGAAACTCAAGCATCTTTTTAATGTCAACTTCAGAGTACTCGTGTGTACAATCAGAATGTTTTTAACAAAATAATTTTGCAAATGACCAATGACAAGGTAAGTATATTTACGAGTTCCATTTTTATTGAAAAAGCAGCTGTCAATGATATCAAAAAGCCTGGACTTTAATTTATCGTGGGGAATGGTTGTGTATAAAGTTGAAAAGTCGTAAGTTTTTAAGCTGTTGATTTTGGTAAAATCTTGTGATTTCAAATTTTCCAAAAGTTCCTTGGAATTTTTAAGTATCCACCTCTGATTTACACCACTTCTCGAATGTATTGTTGCACAGTACTCTTGAAGTTTCTCCTTCACCACTGTTAATATCTTAGTGAGGAGTAAAGATAGAGGCTTGGTTGAACATTTACTGGAACCCGCTATGTATCTTTGTTTGTAAGGATTTTAATGAAGTTTCGGAATCCAATATAAATATGGTAATTCGAATTCATTTTGGTTGTTTGGAATATTAAAAATATTCAAAACTGACATATGATTTTGAAGAATTTCTTCCTTAGAAAGGGAACTATGAGTATAAGTTGGATTACCACTTGTAGAATTAAATCCAAGTTCCTCTAAAATACATTTAATATAATGATCCTTACAAACAAAGACAATGTTGTTACCTGCTTTGTCAGCAGGGACCAGTACGTACTGATCATGTAATCTATCTAATTCTTTTTTCACTTCTGGATTATTGAATACAGAAGGATAGATGGTTTTCATATTGCCTCTCAATCTTTTAATGCGCGATTTTAACATACATCTGATACATTTAATCCATTCTGACAAAGTGTCAAGGTCTTCTTTTTCATGTCTGGCCCATCGCCTGGCGTAGTCCTCTACAGAATCCATAATATTTATGACATTCTTACGCCAGTTGAAGGATCTGGGTTCCCTAAATTTAGGACCTTTTAAAATTAGTGATCTAAGGTCCTCATAATTAACTATATTTACGTCACCAGTAATAACGTGTCCAGCAGGACTATAGTTATAGGGTGAAGAAGAACATGCACACGATGGAGGATTATGTTTCAGATATTCGATATCCAGGCCCTGTAAAGTTTTCTTGTAATTAAAAAGTTTGGAAGCAATAGTCGATGTATATTTGTAGGAAATACAAGGTGTAGTCTTTAACTTGAAATATGGTGGAATACAAGACTGGACCTTT